CTTCTAGTCATATTATTGAACTGAAAAGCAGGTTGCGGAAAGGACAAAAAGGAGCCTATAGAGCAAGGAAAGTATTGGAGCAACTCCTATCGGCTAACACAATCAAGAGTGTTTGAATGGGCGCACCAAATGTGGTCTAAGTCGCGGTTTCTGTTGGGTTACAAGGCATCTAAGCGGTTTGATACTGCTCATCGGGGGCGGAAGAGAGCGTGTACACCTGCTAGTGGATGTGTTATGACGAGGTTGACTTTAACTGCGTCTACTTCACTCTCCCCTCTCCATGTTGAGCGTATCCTGATGAAAAGGCAAGAGAAGGATGGTCGAAGATAGGCGTGGACGCAGCGGTTGAAGGCAATCTGCGCGTACTGTCCTCCCAACGCAGCATAAACCCGTCTATAAAGATGACGCTCGCAACCCCCTTCAGGGAGGACGGTTGACATAAATGCCCCAGTAAGCATGAGCCTCACTACAGCCACACGACAACCAGGATAATTAGTGCATCGTAGTGGGTATAAAGTGCGCTAAACTGGTTACCACCTTGGGAAACCCTGTTGAAGTACCATGACGTAGGATTTATGAGACAATCAGGCGGCTGGAGACTGTTAAGCAAAGACAAGCAGGGCAGATCTTCGTGTCAACTTTCAAAAGCGCTCACATCTTGTCTTGGCCACTTATTAAGGGGGTTGGAGTTTCGGTTCCAGCTGTTGCGACTGGTGATGTCAGCGAAAACAGCATGGCAACGCGTTCATTTGTATGTAAATATCTGTTGGCGCTGTTGTCAATGGTATCATCAGACGGCACCTTTCCCTGCTTCTAAACTAATACCGAGGTAAGGAACGAGCGAGAACATGGAAGAGCGGAGCAGGTGAACAGATAATTAGTGTTCTGAACTGGGGGGACGCCGGCCAGGCCTGAGGTGGGTCTATATGCTCGGAGTAATAAACTCATCTTCCCGCTGATTGACTTCTCTTTAGCATACACGGAGAATATAGAACAGCAGCAGGTTAAGTCAGGTCAAACCTTTTGCGTTTATGTGATGAGAGGTTTTCAAAGGAAGCTGGGTCGGAGCCAGTGACGACGGTGGTAGTGGTAGTACAGACGGAGGAGGGTGTTGGCGACCAGAGGACGTTTGAGGCCGGCGGAGGGCAGAGGGGCCGGAACAGCGGAACGGAGGCACAGGTGG